AATGAAACAATAATTTTATTTCGATTTAAAGCTTTCGTGACTGCAGGGATTCATCTTCTTGGTTCTTTTGGTAAAGTCACGTAGAATGGAAATAATAAAATAATAAAAATAAAACATAATAAAATAATTCTCACGACGTTTCGGCCACAACGCAAGCAGCCGTCCTCAGGTGGAGAGCAGGTCTGTCGAGTAGACAGAGTCTGAATGACACACTCCAGGCTTGGAGCAACTGTTTAAGCTGGGATGGAGGGGGGAAAGGCGCCTTGACAAAATAATCTGCATCTCAAGAGAAATTTAGCATTTACCATAAATATGCTTAATTCCTCTTGAGATGCAAATTATTTTGTCAAGGCGCCCTTCCCCCCTCCATCCCAGCTCAAATAGTCGCTCCAAGCCTGGAGTTTGTCATTCAGACTCTGTCTACTCGACAGACTTGCTCTCCACCTGAGGACGGCTGCTTGCGTTGTGGCCGAAACGTCGTGAGAAACAATAATTGCCCATCGCCCGAATTTCGGACCAATGTGTTGACAAATGCCCAGGCTGATTCTTAGTCCGAGTCCGTCACTGAGCAGTATCCCTAACTAACTGGGGTACGTCGTCACCGGAGAGCCATGCTGCACAACCGCAAACACCTCCGCAGTAGCATTCGTTTGATAGATATCCGAAATGCCCGTTCGAAATACAAGGAGCGAGCTAAAATATCCATGTAACGTAACATCGGCTCCACCATAACAAACGCAACACAGAGATTCATGCCGGACTCCACGATGAACGTTGTTTTTTTTTTTAAAGCTTCTGCGGTGCGATGAATGGTGCGTCGCAGAGGACTGGAAATCCAGGGGGTCGCCGATTCGATCTCCCGACGCGGCAGTTGACACAACGGCGCAGGTTTTATAAATCACGCCCCCCCCCTCACCTGGGGTAGTAAAGTGTGGGTCCTCAACACCTCTTCCTACACGCGTGGAAGAGTAGACCAAAATAACCCCCAGCGGGGGGGGGGGGGGGGGTGCTCTTTATAGAACTCCCTCTAGCGGAGGCGCCGCTACGTCCAGCAGCAGCGGCACGTGTAGGAAATCGCAGGGCTGCACCTTTAGGTGAGTTTTGATACTTTTTTATTTATTTTTCAAGGAGTTTTATTTCGAGACGATCCCCCGTGGAAGTTCGCCGTTCACCAATACCCGGCGGGGTTCTTGGCTCTTTGGCCACGGGTCCCTCGTGCTCGCCTCGGTAACTAATTGCTCTCTAATTAAGGTGGAGATCAGTAAAGCCGCGCGGTGGGGCAATGCCAATCAAGACACAGCCCCCCCCCCCAAAGGACACAGCCAGAGAGAGCAGACAGAGAGCCTCCCTCCCGCAGATATGTCCAAGGAGCCGCGCTAAATACAGCAAGGAGTCAAGGCGCAGGTCCTTGCATTAATTATGTCTCATCGCTGACAGACAAAGGGAACGTCCATAAATGACGTCACGCACCTGGGAGGGGGGGGGTCAGACATTTGTAACGATGCGTTTGAGAAATGTGACGTCACATCAAAATGCGCAACTTTAAATAAATATAGTCAACACGTTCTACTTAATAAAATAGGCTTTTTAATAAATGTTTTCTCCTACAAGATCAGAGTGCAGCGCCACATTAAATACGCACTACAATGACAATAGTTTAAAGCGATTTGAAGAATGTTTTATTTTTTTTGGGGGGGGGGGGCAGAGCTTTGTGACGTCATATTTGAGGGGGGGTCTGACTTTTTGTGACGCCGTGTGACGAAGGGGGGGGGGGGGGTCAAAAATTGTCCAATATCACGTGACGTCATTTATGGACGGTCCCAAAGGCAAAATCTTGATCTCCCAGTTAACCTTACAGACCGTTATAAGGACAACAAACTAAACACAAAAAGCACTTTTAAAGAAATGATTTTGTCACTCCAGATTATTTCAGAGTGGATAGCTCCCGTGGCTTGCTAATATCGGAAGCAAGAGCGTTCCAGGCTGTGGCAGAAGCACATCCGAAAGCGCGCGATGCGGTGAGACCGTCTTTGTTTGATGGCCAGCCAGAATTCGCTGCCGCGAGGATGACCGCAGTTCGCGTGATGGTGGTTGATCTTCCTTGACGAGACCAGCAAGGTTTTGTGGTTCATTTTGTGGCAAGCACTTTGTGTGTAATGAGTGCGACCTCACGGGTGAAGTGCTGCTCGACAAGTGGCTGTAGAGCGCGGATTTCGGGCTGGCGTGGCGCATGATTGGGGAGGTGGCAGTGGTGTGGACAGCCCCACGCCCAGCCGTACTCATCTCCCCAGGGCTGATGTACACAAACTGATGTATTTAGGCACTCATATAGGGCTGAGTTGACCTACGGGAGAGCCCAAAACATGTACAGACACCACTCGCTACTAATGTGAGCTATGGTCGAGAATCGAACTCGGGTGTCTGGGTTCATAGCGCAGTGCGTGAACCACCATGGTACCAACAATTCCGCACTCCCACGCACTCACAATGCTATTCAGATGTACAATGCAGTACTGCATGTAGCGTCTCAATGCAACCGCATCGCAGGACGTGTGCACAGACGTCCTGATGAGGGTGCTGGTGCAGTGTTAACACTGGCGCCTCAGAGCAAGAATGGCCTGGGTTCGATTCTGGACTTGAACACTTCTCTGTGTGGACCAGGAAAGGCCCACTGGGCTATGCTGTAGCTCTTTTTCAGAAGCGATCTGGCCACAAATGATAACTCAACAAAGTGGCTTACCGCGTGGACATTTATAGCAGCCAAATACTCTAAAAAGCACATTGATTTTAAATGTGAAAGGAAAAAACGGAGGACCCTGAGACAAATCCACGCGACCACGGGGAGAATGAGAGAGACGCGCAAACTCCAAATATGCAGGCCTCAGGGTCGGGATCGAACCTACGACCTCCTGTACAGCAGGCGAGATAGTTTAACATATTGCCACTGTGGCGCCCCGTTTGCACGTTGTTCCCCTGTTCGACGTGGGGTTTCCTCCCATAGCTTCGATTTCCTCCGATAAATTTCAAACAACACACAAAACAGTGCGTTGTTTGAAACTCGTGGTGTTCCAGTCCGCTCTATATTTCTGTTGTGATTGGTATATCTTGGTCTTCACAGATTTGATGGTTTTGATGTTTCCCTCCCAGAGCTAAAAACGAGTCTTCAGATTTGGTGTGGCATTCCTGGGTAAAAAACAACTAACAATTTATTTTTTACTATCATTATATTAGATAAATTACTTAAATGGAACAAGTCAAACATCATCGTGTCTCCAAACTCAAAGGAGGATAAGGATGGCGCTCATCTTTGGCGAATACTCTGAGCCAGTGATGGGAATTCCACATACTCATGATGGGGTTAGGATGCCCTCTGTTCACTTCCCAAGAGGTGTGTATTTATATCATATGAAAGCCAAGGAAAGTCAAGGTATAGAGACAGTGGGCATATTCATTTTATTTGTAGGTTTTCACGACCAATATTATGATTAATAATTATCTTCTTGGGGTTACGTCGTGTAGGTATAATGCCAATTTTCACGTGAAATCAAGCTTTCACGTGACAAAATAACTTAAATCACGACGTTTCGTGCGCAACACAAGCGTCCGTCATCAGGTGGGACAACCACAGCGAGAAACAATTGCTGAAGTTGGCAAGTGGGCTGCCAACTTCAGCAATTGTTTCTCGCTGTGGTTGTCCCACCTGATGACGGACGCTTGTGTTGCGCACGAAACGTCGTGATTTAAGTTATTTTATACCTACGTCACTTTACCGAAAGAACCAAAGAGTATGGATCCCCGCAGTCACGAAAGCTTCAAGTCTAGATTCACGTGACAACTTTATTTATTTGGCTCTGTCGGATGGCAGAGTGTAGAAATGAGGCAGTATGCCCACACGGTCTAACCGAACAGAAACTTATTATGAAGTGAGCATATTTATTTTATGCAGAGAGAGGCAGTCAGTCACAGGCAGAGGAGAAGAGGACGTTCTTGAGCCTGGGCATAGAGGGGCAGGGATCCGAGAGCACAGCTGTTTGGGGGAAGGGAGTTCCAGATCGTGGCGGCAGCAGAGGAGAATACGCGGCCTTCCACTGAGAAAAGGGTGACTGGGAGCTTACACAGAAAGGCATGGTTGCTGCAGAAGAGTGAGTGGAGAGGAGTAAGGTGAGATGGGAGGAGAGAGGCAGGAGAATGAGTGGAGGGGAGTAGAGTGATACGGGAGGAGAGGATATGGAAGATGGCGAGTAGTGCGATCTTGATTGTATTGGCAGCCAGCGGAGGCATCGGATTTGTGCTGTGGTTTCGTTTAAAGGATTCAGGTGAGGAGTGTGGGGAGCGGTAGTGTAGTGGTTAGCGCGCTGCGCTTGGAACCCGGCGACCCGGGTTCGATTACCGCTCACGGCCTACACCAGTGACGATTATCTAAAACGGTCCTGGGCCTCATCTAGGTCGACTCAGGCTCAAAAGAGTACCTGATGCGATGTGTAAACATCGCCACTGGGGAGACAAAAGCGGTCGGGCGTGGTGCTGGCCACCCAACTCCTCGTGTACCGTTCCGGCCTTCATAGCTGCTTGCTAACAGCCCTTGCCCCTACAGTCTGTGAAGGCTACACGGGAGGGGGGTCTTTGTCTTTGGTGGAATTTTGGATCCTCTGGAGTTTAGGGGTGAGGGATTTTGGGGGAGGACGTAGAGGAGTGAGGTTTGTTAGTTCGAGCCAGGATGTGATGAGGGCATGGGCGGGGGGGACGCTGGGGTTGAGGAGATGAAAACAGAGGAGACCATGTTCTATATTGCATGTTTGTGTAATGGCCGAAATAAACAAGCACTCACCCCGAGCCAATGTGCAGCCGAGCGGTGATTGGAAAGTTCACCGGTTGGCGAAAAGAGGCCTCCACGGTGGTTAGTCGGGTGGCAGGCTTTTGAAGTGATTAGAGAAAAAGGTTTGAACGAGAATAGGGCCCAGAGGCGGCGGTTGGGAACCGTTAGAGGAGAATGGAACATTCTAGAAAGGGGGCACGAGAGATATAAAAGGTGAGGGGACGAGCTTCAAGACCAAGCACGAAGCCCGGACCGAGTGTTGTTGTTACCGCGTCGAAATAAAAGAGGCTCCTCGTATTTCGATTTGAAGCTTTCGTGACTGCAGGGATTCATATTGTTGGTTCTTTTATTATTTCCCTTCTACGTGACTTTACCGAAAGAACCAAGAATATTGGCTCCTAGTAGTTCCTTGTTGGAGTCATTTCATTTGTACTGTATGTCGAACTTCTCTCGCACCGTACGTACCCAACAGTGCTATTCAGAAGTGCGGGGTAGTTATAGCACACGCAACAATAACAACACAAGCAGTCAACGTTGCCGCATTGAATGATTTTTTAAATCCTTTATATTAAGTTCACTTGCTTGCTTGCGCGCTTACGACCGTGCAAATCTTTCGGTCGTTTTTTAACCCACTTCCCGTGATCCAATCGAGCTGACATTTTGCACACAGACTCGTTGACAATTTATTTTCGTGAAATTTTTTTTCCAACATTTTACACTTTTTAGGAAAAAATAAATTATATTTAATTACCAATTGCTTAATGGTGGCAGGCAATCATCTGACCCATAGGTGGCAGCCATCTCAAGCCAGAGGACAAGAGGACTCTAGCCGCCACGCATATAAAGGATTTATAGTGAAAAACTTAGTTTTTACGGGTTATTTTTTTTTCTCCCTACATCCTCCGTCCGATCTCTCGCAACCATCGACGTTCCCCCTCCCCTCTTGGGAACGCGTCCGTGCAGCTGCACAACATCACAATCGCGCGTGCAATAATTTAGTCCTTGCGTCTCCTCCTCCTCATCATCACCCACCCAGCCTGCCCTCCCTCCTCTCTCTCCCCTTGTGTGTGGAGGGGGGAGGAGCGAGGGAGGCTATCTTCTCAAATTGTGCCCTCGGAGAATGTGGCCATCCGACGACCGATGTACCTGGAATAATCCATAATTTACAATATACGTAATTGCAAGCCGAAGGGGTCTTCATTATTTCGGTTCGATTGCCCGAGGCCTCGCTAACAAGCAACGCGGCAATAGCCGGGCGATGATTATTTATCTTTTGTGTAACTTTGAGTCGTTTTAGAGGTCCCCCCGTGCCTTTTTTTGACACCTATCAAACAAATATTATTTTGCTTTTATAATTTATTTTGGGTTAGATCGGCATGTAGGTAAAGTGCCATTTAAAAAAAATTATAACCCTCCACCACCCGACACAGCCAATTAAAGCAAGCTGTCGCGTGGGTAACCGTGCCGATTGTTTTCGTTTGTTAGCAGAACTGAAGGAATTCAGATCTGTGACACCCTTATCAGTGCCCTACCTGATTACAGACCAATTCAGAACTTATCTGTCACCCCATGCTTTTTAAAATGTCAACGTTCATCCTACAAAGTTCCATATCAAGGGAGAAACACAAACAAATAGACACACACAAAATGTTGCCCGTATTGGATACGGCCGTATGCCGTATGGACCTGAAAGCTCAATCTCCCTGTACAAGAATACGGGGCAAACCGTATGGCGTGACAGCTGTGGGAATTATAAATTTCGATTTAAAGCTTTCGTGACTGCAGGGATTCATATGCTTGGTTCTTTTGTAAGGTCACGTAGAAGGTAAATTAATAAAATAAAAAAAATAAAAATAAAAATCCTCACAACGTTTCGATTGCAACACAAGCAATCATCATCAGGTGTGAAAACCACAGCAAGAACATGTTCTTGCTGTACTAGTGACATTCTGTTTACGTGACAAACCTTACTAATTGGCTGTGTCGGGTGGTGGCGGGTTTAACGATACATTTATATATTTATGCGATCTAACAAAAAAAAACTGTATTATGGATGATATTGGGCGTAAAAGCACACGTGTTAAACCAATGGCCGTAGCCATGGAGTCAACATTGGAGTGGACCAAATCTTCCAGGGGGTCTGAGGGTCCCAACCCAGAAAAATATCTAAATTTGAAAACTCATTTCCTGCCATTTCCTGCCTAAAATATTTTTAAAAACACATGGGATGGACTTTTTTTTTACAATAATGTCTAAAAGTGTATTGTATTACATTGCTCTGTTTTTACTTTAAAACCATTTCTTGTTTCATTGTATGTAATGTTTGAGATTAGGGATTAATACAGTACAACCATAACCACAATCATATAAACAGAAATTCTATGCATTGATTTATATGAAGACAAGTCCAGATATTGTGGCCAAGGTTTATCAAATTGTTATTTTTATTTACATAGCATAGCAATTATTATTACTTTTTTATATTTTGATCGCAATATATGGGGGGGGGCATTTTGAGCATATTTGAATATTGGGGGGATGTGTCCCCCCCAATATACATTATAATTACGGCCTTGTGTTAAACTGATCATGGCTGATGATGATAATAATCTAAAGTAAGTTTCCAATGTAATTCTTCAATTCCAAAAGGGAGATAAATCTTCCTTAAAGAACTACAGACCCATTCTCACCTTGTCACATATCTATAAACTGTTGACAGTTCATTATGGAATATTGAGTATTCAACAAACCACAGATGCAAGCAGGGTTTCGGGAATGTTCCTCTACCATTAACAACATGAATATTAACTTATCATTCAGATAATGGAGAAGACTAATGCATTTTCCATGACCATTGTGCCTGGCCTTTGTAGACTATGATAAAGCATTCAGACTCAGGCTCGGACTTCATTATTCAACCGGTAAGACCTCATTGAGCTAAGCAGCTGAGTTATGATGACGACCCACAGCCCCAGGCCGTTGACAGTGGCGGCAGTTATGGGCATTGCAGTTCCATAGAGTTACATAGAGATCCTTAGAGTTACATAGAGATCCATAAAGTTACATAGATATCCTTAGAGTCACAGAGATATCCATAGAGTTATATAGAGATCCATAAAGTTACATAGAGATCCATAGAGTTACATAAAGAGCCATATAGTTATATTGAGATCCATAGAGTCACATAGAGATCCATAGAGTGAAATAGAGATCCAAAGAGTTACACAGAGATCCATAGAGTTACATAGAGATCCATAGAGTTACACAGAGATCCTTAGAGTCATATAGAGATCCATAGAGTTACATAGAGATCCATAGAGTGACAGAGAGACTCAGGAACACAGCCCAAGACCGTCGGCAGTGGCAGCAGTTACAGGGCATTACAGGGTGGAGGGAATGTGCAAGCCAACAAGAGCAACAAACAAACACATTCCTGCGGAGGGAGCTGGTAGGAACGTTGGGTTGCTCGGTCAATGGCCAGGGTCAACGGCGGCGTGGTGTATTCCGCAAATATGCCCGACTGTGAGGGCGGGCACAAGCTGGCGTGAGTAGGTTAAACGTTGAGTTTTATAAGGGCACCACGGGGTGACCAGCCCCTCCCCACCCAGCCCCACCCTTGTCACCCCCCACCCAGCCCCTCCCCACCCTCCCCACCCAGCCCCTCCCCTCCCCACCCTCCCCACCCAGCCCCTCCCCACCCAGCCCCACCCTCGACCACCCAGCCCCTCCCCACCCTCCCCTCCCTCCCCACCCAGCCCCTCCCTCCTCACCCAGCCCCTCCCTGCACGACAGACACAATAATCCCCTGTGGGCTGGTGTAACCAGGAGGTTTCTACCAGTATAACAAATGACATACACGAAACATTTGACTCGGTGTACATACATGCAGACACCCGCTTCTCACAAAAACCAACTCCTAAATAAGAAATATACTCATTCATAAAAAATGTAACAGCTATCCTGAGATGGCATGAAGAAAGTACGTAATCACAAATCAGAAGGTGACATGCTGCCGCCGAAGTTATTAACAACGACGTCAAAATATATTTTCCAAAAAACTACAACGCGAAAAATATAGAGATGCATCACTATTCACGGAGTAAATATTAACCACCGTAAATGTGCTGCTCTCCGATGCTGTGGTGTAAAATGCAAACACAGAGGGCAAAGTGGCTGTGAGTGTTGTCCCCTGCCACCGGAAGAAAGAAAAAACAGCTTCAGTTCTTTCTCTTAGTTGTTTCGGTAAAGTCACGTGATACAGCCAAATTTGCTGTATCACTTGATACTGTGATGGTCCCACCTGATGACGGAGACTTGTGTTGCCTTCGAAACGTCGTGATTTTTATTATTTTATTTTTATTAATTTTAATTTCAATTTTTACCTACGTGACTTTACCGAAAAAACTAAGAGTATGAATCCTTGCAGTCACGAAAGCTTCAAATCTAGCTTCAGTTCTGCTCGGGAAATCATTTCCACCGCATCAGCTGCTCGCTGGACGGTCATGCCAATCAGGCTGTGTCACATTAAGTTGTTTTTCCCACTGCTGCTCATGTGTCAGGCTTCCATTACAACGTCAACTACAACCAGTTGTTCTATGGAGAGACTGGCCCCAGCCATGGGAATCGTGGACTGAAGCACCGCTGGCTAAAGAGGCCCGCCAATGGAAATGAGATCCTTCCCATTTGCTCGCTCGAGCAGGGAGACAATTGAAACTAAACTATCAACTATTTTCTTCATTTACCAGGTAAGGCCCACTGAGCTACTTAGCTCTTTTTCAGAAGCGACCTGGCTACAAATGATTACCCAACGAAGTGGCTTGTTGTGTGGAATTGTATAGCCAAACACTCTAAACGCACGTTTCCAAATGTGGAGGGAAATAACTGAAGGGCCCGGAGAAAAATCCACACGACCACAGAGAGAGACATGCAAACTCCAAATATACAGTTGTCAGCGTCGGAATCGGACCCATGGCCTCCTGCATGCCAGGCGAGGGAGGTAACATCTCGCCACCGTGGCACCCTTATAGACTATCTACATTTCAAATACGTGCGTCTCTTTAATGCCATGCTTTACATTTGTTTTTTACAGCATTCCCTCGTTATTAGCGAGGAATACGTTCCGGAGATGCTTCTGAATAGCACATTTTGTGGATAATGATATTGTCATATGAAAGGGCAATTTTTTTAATGAATTACCTTATATAATTACATAAGTCAGCTTTCTCTCACATCACTTTATCTCATCACTTTATTTAATCACTTGTTCTCATCACCTTCTCTCTCATAATTTTATCTCATCACTTTCTGTCTCTCTCTCGCTCGCGATGCAGTCGTGTAGAAGTTACCGATAGCAAGTCCGCGAATAACGAGGCAATGCCTTACTGTTAAAACTGCCAAGGATTCAGGACAGATGAGGATCTGGGAGAAAGAGGAGTTGGCTACGTGAGAGCCTCGATGCTGCTGCACGAAGTGGCGTCTGTTTTCACAGGGGGCGGCGTGGAGAGCAACGGGGTCGATTCAGAGTGGGATAGCGACCATGCAGATGTCACGTGGTTTACGGGAGGCTTCAGCCGATTTAGAGATAGATAAGGGATATCAAGGTGAGAGGGGAGGGATTCAGAGTGGGAGATGGATCACATAGATGGCACGTGATTTGCCGGAGGCTTGAGTCGATTTATGTCCGAAGATGTAGCCGTCTAATGTTTCAAGTCAGAATCTTTATTTATACTGGAGGGATACGATTAGCTATGAAGCTATTTTTCCACAGGCGTCCAGTCGGGGCGGGTCATAAAATTGAGACATTAGTGAAAGGCACCTTACAAATAAAAGTTAATTATCATTTATAAGAAAAACACGATAAAAGGAGCCGATACCGGACAGCTACTTCTCTCTGTGCCCGTCAAGTACAGGGTGATCCAAATAAAAATGCCCCATCGAATTCGAATGTCCCCTCCCACGTTCTTGTCAACGGCCGATTGAGCCCCGTGAATGCGATGGCTCTAATACCTTGCGGAGGAGAGCGTCAAAAATGATTGAGCGCGTGCTTGGGCATCGGGGTGGGAGGCGTGGCGTGTCCGACTCAGAAGTTGATTTCTCCGAGTAAGGCCCATCGAGATATTCTGTTCTGTTTTGGATTCATGAAGTCGCCTTTCACCGAGGCGCTTGGCAATGCTTACCGACTACGGTGCAAGATGGCAAGATAATCGATGGGGGGGCCGTCCATAAATGACGTCACGCGATTTTGGACGATTTTTTACCCCCCCCCCCTCCATCGTCACACGTCGGCACAAAAAGTCATCCCCCCCTTCAAATATGACGTCACAAAGCTCTGCTCCCTCCCCCCCCAAAAAAAAAACATGCTTCAAATTGCTTTAAACTATTGTCATTGTAGTGCGTATTTAATGTGGCGCTGCACTATGATGTTGTAGGAGAAAACATTTATTAAAAAGTATATTTAATTAAGTAGAACGTGTTGTCTATATTTATTTAAAGTTGCGCATTTTGATGTGACGTCACATTTCTCAACCCCCCCTCCCTCGTTACACATCGTCACAAATGTCCAACCCCCCCCACCCCTAGGTGCGTGACGTCATTTATGGACGGCCCCTAGGGATCGAATAGTGACTCGGGTGGAGGGAGCGAGGTGGAGGCTGTGGCGGTGGAGGCGTTCGGGGCGTGAGGTGGTGCTGGTCGGGGTGGCGGAAGAGGAAGCGAAAAATGCCGGGGAAAGGAGATAGGAGCTGATGGCAGCGTGAAAGGAGGAAAGCGAGAGTCGGATGTGGAGAGGGAGTTTGTTGCAGCGTAAGGGGGCAAGCTGCGAGAAGGAGTGAAAGCGAGATTGGGGGCAGAAGATGGGCAGCTTGTGACCGGAGCGGGCGTGGTGGGACAGCTCCTTGTTGGGGGCAGCCAGCAGACACGTGTCTCTATCTCAGTGGTGCTGAACCAGGGGCTAGCGTAACCCCGGTTTAGAACCACTGATCTGCCTCGTAAACGGACCACCCTGTATTATGTTACCTCTATTTGAAAGGAATTAATTATACTGTGCATGCTTACAGGACAGTTTTTGGACAAGATTGTCAACAGAATACTTTGACATACTTTTTCACGTAAATTTATTTTTTAATTATTGCTGCTTACCTGCGTATATGAAACTAAAATATGTTTTTTTTTACCAAGTTAGGCCCACTGAGCTATTTAGCTCAGAAGCAACCTGGCCATCACAACTGATAGCTCAACCAAGTTGGCTTATCACGTGGAAATTCATAGCAGCAGCTAAATACTCTCAACGCGTGATGTCGAGTCTAAATGTGGAGGGGGAAACCAACACGGAAGTGTGGATGTTGGAGCTTGAATGTTCGGCTTGCGCGAGCGTCTTCTTTGCACATCCAGATCGTCGTACAACACAGAGGCTCCCTCGATGGGTAGGCTTGTCAGCTTGCAGATACTTTCTTTTTTAAATTCAAATGCGTTGGTTGTAGCAATAACAAGTCACAGAGTCGCTTCCAATTAGAATACAATTTGTCGAGGACCCTCCCGGCTGGCTCGGAGGTCGGATATATTGAACCGGCACCGCTGAGATATACTTGGTTCAGAGCAGGGCAGCCACCCGTAATTAATCTGACAAACTCAATGCATTCGTCAATAACACTGGGGCCTTGGAAGAATACAAAAATATATAAAATAGGCAGCGTTTCACCATTGTGCGTGAAGAAGGTCCATTGCCCGAATGTGACCTATTTTCTAAAAAATTTGGGTTATTTTAAGGCAACAGTGTTGTTGACGAGTGTGCTGAGGGTTTTTTGTTGTTGTTGTTGTTTTGTGTTTATTGAGTTTGTGCACCACTGCAAAAATAGCAACAGCAGCTACTTCGTTTAGTTGCCGATTAAACTGGTTTCGAAGCGTGCCGAGTCAACGGTCTCAACCTCCTCCACAATGACTGCGACAACATAACTCATCGCAAGTTTGGATCTGCGCTTAATCCTGCGACATACATTCTAGCTTCGAAAGGGAATAACGCCGTTTGACTGTCATTTCGCAATCGCAGAGCAGAGTACGAAAACATAAGAATAGGTTTTACCCTTTCTGGCAATAGAACAGGTGTCAAGATGTTCAAACACCAAATGTAAACCTTTTGTGAGGATTCAAGTCTGCACTAACCACACGTACTTGTGGTGAACATGCAAACAAACATGCTTTCATTATAATATATGCATTGTCTTTGAAACTCATTGTCCTACACCAGATACGGCCTTTTTTACGGCCTCGTCTCACCGGTGTCAGACCAGAGAACGCCAAAAGGCGGACAACACAAAGACAATGCCACACGCATCAGAGCATTTATAGCAGCGACAAAATGTAGGCCAATCAGTTTCAAAGGCAACGCATATATGATCATATTTGTTCGCATGTTCACCACAAGTCACGTGTGGTTAATGCGAACTCGATTCCTTGAAAAAGGTTTCCATTTGGTGTTTGAACATCTTAACACCTGTTTTATTTTTCGATTTAAAGCTTTCGTGACTGCAGGGATTCATCTTCTTGGTTATTTCGGTAAAGTCACGTAGAATAAAAATAATAAAATAATACAAATAAAACATAATAAAATACAATTCTCACGACGTTTCGGCCACAATGCAAGCAGCCGTCCTCAGGTGAAGAACAGGGCTGTCGGAAAGACATTGCCAGACAGGGTAAAAAAAATATTTGTATTGGTTCATACTTTGATACTGGCAAAAAGGTGCCATTCAGAGCAAAGTGTGGTTGGGAAAGCGCGACGCCCCCTTCTCCTTAATGTGTAGAGGGGGAAGGGGATCACGGGAAGGATTTCATGAGAGAAGCCCTGTGAAATATCCCTTGGGAAACAATCCCTCTAAAAGGGTACAACCACACTTCGAGATTTCCCAGCGGAGTCTTTGTCCCGTGACACGATGCTGCATGTCATAATAAATATATAAATTAAACTTTAAAAACAAAATCACAGTTCACCGAGCACAGGCCCAAAACTGCCGAGCAGCCAGTAACAAACAGCAACGGGCGTGGAGAGATAATGGCTGCCGATAACGATGATGATTCAGGCGCGTTAATGCTAGCGTACACAGCAGGTTGACGCATCGATTTTCACGATTTTGCTGTCACCCGCTGCGATATAATGGGCATGGCACCTTCTTCCCAATTAGATTTCCACTTGGAAATAGTCACATTAAATGCCCAATTATTCCTGAAGTGATGAGGATGGCATGGGCAATTACCTAACAGCTCCGGAGGGCGCATTTGAACATACACCCCAGTGGAATTAGAGATTCTCCATCAATATAAAAAGGATTATTACCTTTGCCGAACCGAACAAAGATGAATGCCACGGAAATGATCAGTTAACCCGCGAGCGATCTGTAACTCGCTCAAATATTCGCAGCCGTGACTCGTAACCAACGTTGTAATGTATTATCAACACCTCACCTGCCATGCAGTACATCTTAAATGTTATTTACATTATTCTTCTGGAATCCTTGTTATTTGTTTTTCTCAAATCGTGCGTTCTTAAATGCATGTCGCTGTTTTGTTAGAGCTCTGCGTTTGACGTGGTTGTAAAAGTTTGTGGGGCAGTGTCCTTGGCCGATCTTGGCACAGCCCGGTTTCAAAAACTCAACAAAACGATGAACGTCTGGCAGCGTGAGTGCTTTTGATGAACACTCGACTATTTGCATGGACTCATTTCTCGCTCGGTCGCGTTCGAAACGCCCGCCGCCAGGCTGGCTTGGAGTAGGGGGCTACTCGGCGGAAGGCAACCCCCCCCCCCCCACCAGGGTACGAGGTACGCCTATTCGTAGATATCCTAAATAATCGCACCCTGTATTTGTAAAAACTAGCAAGAACCTCCGCGGTGAACGATGGAGAATTTGTACAGAGACTGATGATTTCATCAACTGCAGATTTCACACGGGAAAATTGATTTGTCATATGTATGTGCCGAAAAGAAATTGCAATTATTCACGATTGTTTCTCGATTACAATAAATTTGTATCGATAAAAGTATAAATAAGAACAACGCATCTACCCAATTGTTTGCAGTAAACACTGGGGAAAGAGCGTAAGGGAGACAGGCGAACGGACAAGATTCGTACACTAAGTAGGATGAAGCCAGAACTTCAGGACACACACTGCGACTGTGATCGAGCTGAGTGGACGCGCGACTTTTCTCTCAGTTTGTCGGCAGGGAGAGGACACGAAGTGTTCCAAAGCTGTTTGATTTAGAACAAGATACAACTGGTTCACTTTCGATTTTCTGCAGTGGCCTCACAGCACGACGCACGGGTTCTTTTTTTGTCGGAAACAACAGGAGACAGAAGTCGTCCACACTTGTTTTTCTTCGTTGTCTGCGTGTCCCGGTGCGTTACAGACAGACAGAGGAGTAAGCGTATTATTATTCAGACACTGTCTTTCCGACAGACCTGTTCTTCACCTGAGGACGGCTGCTTGCGTTGTGGCCGAAACGTCGTGAGAATTGTATTTTATTATGTTTTATTTTTATTATTTTATTACTTCCCTTCTACGTGACTTTACCGAAAGAACCAAGAAGCTGAATCCCTGCAGTCACGAAAGCTTTAAATCGAAATTTAAAATCGTATTATTATAATGACGATGATCCTATGTCCGAGTTTATAAAACGCATGAGGACATACTCTTTGTTTTTTTCGGTAAAGTCACGTAGGTAAAAAATAAAAAACGAGAACAACTAAATTAAATAACGACGTTTCGGAAGCAACACAAGCCTCCGTCTTCAGGTGGAACCGCCACAGCAAAATTACTGTAGTAAATAATTTATTCAGCAAAATTGCTGTAGTAAATAATGTATTCACTACAGTAAATTATTCACGACAGTAAGTTTGCTGTGGCGGTTCCACCTGAAGACGGAGGCTTGTGTTGCTTCCAAAACGTCGTGATTTAATTTAGTTGTTCTCGTTTTAATTTTTTTTTATTAAATTTGTGATTTAATTTTGTTATTTTCAATGTATTTGTTCAATGTTTTTATTAATTAATAATTCTTATTATTATTTATTTTATTTTATTTTTTATTTTCAACTACGTGACTTTACCAAAAAAACCAAAGAGTATGGAGCCTTGCAGTCACGAAAACTTCAAATCTAGAACACACGAGGACAAATAAGGTATGCATGTTGGACTTATTTCGCACCGTACGTAGCCAACCGTGCTTTCACATCACAAGGTGATGCACCTCCCGTTGCTTGCGATGTGAAATGCACCTCCAGTTGTCGGCGATGTGAAATGCGGCGTCCAAATTTGGCGTCCCAAATGTTTCTTCTCTTTCCGAACAGTGCTGAAGTTAGCCACCGTCTAATTAAATCCGCTTCGTTGTTTAGAAGTGTGGAACAAAAATTGTGCCGTCACTCAAGTCCGGGTAATTTCAGCATCTTCACGCGCAAGGCAACAGCACACCGCCGAGATGCGAGCGAGCTTCGAGAATAATTCACGAGTAAAAATAATGGTCATCTAAGTGGCTGCTGTCCACGGGGTCTTTAAAGTCATCTTAGCAGCATTGGTAACTGCGCAAAGTGTTACCGGGTAACATCACAAAGTTTGGCTATCGATTCCATTCCAGTGGCCTGGGTGATGCTAAACTAAACTCTATTTTTTTTATCGCTCTTTTTGAGAAATGACCTGGCCACTAATTGATAGCTCAGCGAAGTGGCTTATCACGTGGAAACGTATAGCAGTGGACAAACACTCTAAACACGTGACGTTGATTCTAAATGTGGAGGTAAAAACCGGAGGATGCGGATAAAAATCCACGCGACCACGAAGAGAGAGAGAGACACGCACATTCCAAATATGCAGGCGTCGGGGTCGGGATCGAACCCACGACCCTCCATGTATACCAAGCGAGGTGGTTATCATCTCGCCGTCACTCGCGATGCGACGCGGGCTGCCCAGCTGCGCGTCACCACCGCCCACGTGGTGGACTTCAAGGCCGGTCGACTTTACGCGCACAGACTCGCTGTCCTTCTGCTTGTCTTGGTGTGTGTCTCGCTCGGTGAGTCTTTATGTGCGTGTCTCTCTCTCTCTGCCTGTGTGTCTGCCTATGTTGGTTCCATGTCTGTGTTTTATCATTCATTCTTACTTGATGATGGTTGTTTGTGTTGCTATCGATACATCGTATTCTATTATTATTTCATTTTATTTTCTACGTGACTTTACCGAAAGAACCAAAGAGTAATTTCTGCAGTCGTGAAAGCTTCGAATCTAGTTTGGTGTTTATATTACCTGCCGCGACATTCAACTGAACACATTTGTTAATAACACCGTGGCCTGAAAAGGAAATATTAATATATTACACTGGTCAACACACTTTTTTGGCATAAGGTATTCCAACGGTTTTAAGGTAATTTTGGGGTGCTGATTCCAAATCTGGCATCAGTTTTTGTCTATCACATCAGGTTTTTGAGATATAAAATATTGCATTTTCAATCAAAACTGCACAAGAAAAATATTAAATAAATGTGGATATCTACATAAAATGATATTATAAACACACTATCCTAAAAATACAGCACCATATTTTAACACTAAAGCAGTCACTGACTCGCAACAACTTGCAATCATAAGTGACAGAGTTAATTTCGGGTAAAATCAATGAAAATGGGGTATGCCGATATATAAAAATGAGATGTGATAGAGCAAATCTGAGATCAAATTTGGAATCAGCACCCTGAAATTAGTCTAAAACAGCTGCAAAAGTCCAGGCCAGAAAAAAATGTTTTTTTTTGTTGACCAGTGTAATAGGTAACGTTTTGGACAATAGCCCTTCTTCAGAGCACATAATGTAGAAGGGTCATTGCTTGAAACGTCGCCTCATATTTTTACCATCATGGCCACAGTGTTGTTTGACGATTGTGTTGAGTTACTCTTTTTGGGGTACACGTGCTTGTGCACCATTGCCAACTCATCAGTATCACCAACATAGTTTGTTTTATTGGCTGTTGATCATCAACAACACTGAGCTATACCCACCGCTGGGCTGTGGGCCTCTCTAAGCCGTCATTGCCAACCTCGCACGGTCCTCGCGAGACGCAGCAATGCCACGGGGCTCCTCCTGCCCGCGAGCTTGACTCTCTCATCTCTCTCTCATCGCTCCGTCTGCTCAGGCGGTACCCTCCTGAGCACGCTGTCTCCCTGCAAGTCGTCTCTGTCAGCCACAGACATCATCGTCTACAGCAGTGGTTCGTGATCTTTCCTGCAGACTTGCACCCCTTTGGTTCTCAATCGTAAAAAAAACAGTATGATGTTAATAAATACGTAGAGGGTTTGATGAAACAAAGTAGTTGTACTTACGTGCCCGTGTTTAATTTGGTGTTTTGGATTATTTATCTTCTAAAACATCTGGCATGTCTTGCACCCCGCGAGAGGGCATCTCTCGCACCCCCAGGAGATGCGTGCCCCCCCCCCCCCAGGTTAAGAACCAGTGGTCTTCTACAGGTTACTTTCTTCACGGTCGAAATGATGCCACTCATGTTGCGTTCGTTCCCTTCGTCCAAGTGCGTTCGTCCGTGTCAATGGAGGCATCTACAGCGTCAGTGCTGACAATGGGTGTCGTCCCTTAATCACGTCTTTGGTGAGGTATCAAACACCAAATGCGGATATAGGAACGTTTATCCGCAATTTGCACTGATATCTGTTGAATGCCTTGCCAAAGTGGTAGGCCATTAAACATGGAACGTTGGGTCAACGTTGGTCCAACGATTGCAACCACGTGCTTCTGAGAATAAGTTAACACCTCAGTGCGCTTTGCCTGGTAGGATGGTTTAGTTTCGTTGTTTGCTTTTGGGTGCTTTGTTTACCTTTCTTGTACTTTGCACTCCTATGATGTTTGTGTAATGGTGTTTGTTGTTGTGACGTTCTTACCCCGTGCCCCGACCGAACATCTGTGATAAAGAGCTTTATAGCCCATCGGATTCCTCCAGGATAAATACATTTTCTGATTCTGATGCTGCCAACGTTGCCCCCAACGTTGCACGCTTACGAAGATACCGGGCGTGTTGTCGTGGGTGGGTGGAGTCACTGTCTGGGCGTGAGTGCTTTTCTCGGTTGTTCGTAAATGAAGAAGCAAGCAGTGGCAGCCGGTGGCGGCTCAAATCTCTCTCCGGCTGTCACCGAGGAGCGCGACCACTCATCCATCCCCTTGGCTCGTGCCCCCCCCCTCTCGCCGGGATGAACGCGGCAAGCCTCAGCCCCCTCTTCCTCCTCCTCCTCCCCGCCTGGCCGTGCTGCTGTTCACGCAGCGGTCGCCCACGTGACCCCCCCCACCACCACCGCAGCAGCAGTTTGCATTTGCCCTCTGCCCTGGTCAACAGGAAGCTGTGAAATAACGCAGAAAGCTGTCGTTCTACCCAGTTTCTCTTTTTTAACGAAGGGGGCAGCGGGGGCGGTAGGAATTCCGTGAAAATAGCACGGTCCGCTGACGGTCTTGTTTGTATAGCATTACCTTCTTACCGGATCGCGACGTGTGTTAGTGAAGCCCTGCCGCAGGAGTAACACTGCCACAAGTGGAAATGTTGCAACGAAGCTTCATTCTGTCTAGAGGCTGTATACACGCTGTGTTTACACGCACGCCGGTGACGGGATGGGATTTTTAAAAAATGCGTTTAAAGCACTAATTATTGTGTATCATGTTTGCAGTAAGTTTTGACGTGGGATTCGTGTGACTTATTTTTGTCAGGCTGTCATGGAGTCCTGTTCGGTTTGGAACTTCAAGTCCTGCCTAAATTAGTTTTTATCTTTCAGGAGCATTTCCGTCGGCCACGTCTCCCCCCCCACACCTATTGCCATTGATGTAAATCGCCTTGAGACGCTATAACGAAACGCACGATTTCAGCTGTGATCATTACGATGTGTTTGTTACTCTTGTTGGTTTTCACATTCGCTCCTTGCAGTGCCGCCTCTGCTGCTGCTGCTGCCACCGCCGCCGATGGACACGGTTTGTGGTCGTCCTTGTGACGGCGTCTGCCACTTCGCTCAGTGGGGCCTTGCCAGCTGAAATAATAACGTCTTGAGTCTGAGACGTATACACTATGGGCACTACCGCTATGCCGGTTGACTTTTGCTTCATCGGATAAGGACAACACTTCAACTGGTATTGGAACAAGTGACCGGGAGATGGCAGTGAAGCAATGGATCCTTAAATCTAACTGTGCGGAGCTTTGAGTGTCGCCATGTCATAAATCTCGATTGAAAACTCCTTTTTTTAGAACTGCTTTTAGTGTTTAGTTTGTTGTCCTTTCACCGCACGTCCGATGAGGACGGTTGGCTACGTACGGTGTGAAAGAAGTGTCAACATACGTACATGCATATATGTGTGCTGCTATTGGAACAAGTCACCGGGAGGTGACAGTAACGCAATGGATTTCGATGTAAAGCTTTCGTGACTGCAGGGATTCATATTCTTGGTTCTTTCGGTAAAGTCACGTAGAAGGGATATAATAAAATAATACAAATTTAAACAATTAAATTCCCACGACGTTTCGATTGCAACACAAGCAATCATCATCAGGTGTGAAAACCACAGCAATACATTCTGAAAAAAGTGGCACACCTGATGATGATTGTTTGTGTTGCAATCGAAACGTCGTGAGAATTTTATTGTTTTATTTTTATTATTTTATTATTTCCCTTCTATGTGACTTCACCAAAATAACCAATAATATGAAATAGTAACGCAATGGATTATTAAATCTAACTGTGCGGAGCTTTGAGTGTCGCCCCGTTTGTACTGTATCAATGGAATTGGCCAAACGTCCCGGTGCAAGACACTGCTTAAAAGGAGTCTCGGTGAAGCTTTGCTCGGTAAATAATTGGCATCATTATTATCATTATTATTTTTAAGTGCTAAAGTGTTCAAACCCATTCTGTAGAGGGCACATTGCCAAAAACAAAGTATGAAGATCTTGGAAGATGTTTTGGTGAAATCAATTTTGGTACGGTGGTGGGTGCCTATTCTACGCCTGGATGCCAATTATAAAGTGTGTTTAATGTGCTGTTGTATAATACTAATTAAATGTTCCTTATTTACGATCAAACACATCATCTGTAACCCTTTGCATTTCATTGCTGGATGAACGTTTCTCCCCACGCTGTCGATCATTGTGGTTGTTTGACCATATTTCACCACGCTGGTCAATGCAGCTTTGTCAAAGGGCAGGCAAAGGTCTGGCACCAACATCATTCACCACTGGTGTTAGTAGTGATCAGGAATCGAACATAGGTTTCCGGGTTCGTAGTGCAGTATGCTAACATTTGTGCCATCACTCCAACCCTACAATACTATAAACTGTAATTTAAATTCAGTGGGCTCCTAAAGTAAATGTGACAGCATAATTCATGTGCAAAATAAGGTACTGAAAATATCAGTAGGGCTTTATGAATGATGATAATGTCAATGGCGAGGATGACAATGATGATGCTCATGATGATAATGACGACGACGATGATGATGGCAATGGTAATGATGACAGTGAGTACGATGTTCATGATGACAATGGTGATGACGATGACGACGATGATGACAATTGTGATGACAACGATGTCAGTGATGACGATGTTCATGATGACAATAGTCATGATGACGATGATGATGCCAATGGTAATGATGACAGTGATTACGATGTTCACGATGACAATGGTGATGATGATGACGATGATGATGACAATGGTGATGACGACGATGATACAGTAATGACGATGTTCATGATGACAATGGTGATGATGATGATGCCGATGGCGATGGCGATGTTTAACGATGACAGTGATATGACGGCGATGCGATACGACTGTACTGGGAAGCGATGTCCCACAGGGAGGATAGCTGCTCGCGGTTGAACTGCAGCTCGCCCGGCACGGACGCAGGCAACGGGGGTTTGGGAGATGGAACGGTGACAACAACCGCTGAGGGCAAAGCAGCTTGAACGGGAGCCGCCCATTCACAGCGAGAACCTCGCGATGATCGGTGCCCGAGACGGGGGCAGTGACCCACGGCCACACGTACACAATATAGATCATGGTCGTCACCATAGCGCCGACGGTGGCGAGATGTTACCTGCCTCGCCTAGTTTACAGGAGGTCGTGGGTTCAATTCCGACCCTGCCGCCTGCTGTGTATTTGGAGTTTGCGTGTCTCTCTCTTCCCCGTGGTCGCGTGGATTTTTCTCCGGGTCCAACGGGTTTCCCCTCCACATTCAGAAACATGCGTTGAGAGTATTTATTGGCCATACATTTATACATGATAAGCCACTTTATTGAGCTATCATTTGTGGCCAGGTGGCTTCTGAAAAAGAGATATACAGCTCAGTGGGCCTTACCTGGATTAATAAAAAAAATAGTTCGTAGTTTTTGTTTATGTAGTTTATAAAGTTTTGAGTGTTATTCCCCGCACAGGCCTGCTTTTTTTCTTTGGGCTCTCCGGTTTCCTTCTACAAATTCGTCGCTGGAATTGACGAGTAGAGGGCTCTTAAACTCTACTCGTTTTAAGACTGGTGGCCAGTGTAATGATAAGAGAGCCGGAGAATTATGGTCATGTAATGGGGTTCGGGTGAGCACCCTAACTGCTGCATTCTGAAGTGCATTGCGGCTCTTGAAATATTGAGTTTCTTGCCGCATTCGAAAAAAAATGTCTCTACTTGTGTTTTGGTTGCCGACCCCTGCACTACGCGAACTCTGGTCTCTTTCACGGTCGAGGGTCCCTATGACGGATGCATTCAATTTGTGAAGCAACATTAACTTTTTCCCCGTTATAGCTCGTACAATATTTAATCTTGAGCCACCGTTTCGCAGCCTCGTTCAGTAAGAGGCCGGATTATCTCGAGTTATTCCGGCCATCTGTGCGTCGACCCAACTAACGCCCCTCTTCATACCCTCTGCGCAAGTCGCGTTTCCTTTTTGAGCTGTCACTCAAAGCGTGCGTTCTCTTCAGTATTCTCGCCATGCACTGCCACGGCGGCTCTTGAATCCAACATCCTCGCCACATCGGTCTTCGCGGCAGATGAAAACTCTCCATATCAATCGTTCAGCACATTCACATCCTGCTTAGCCGACAGCGGCTTAGGTTCGCAACAGCCAACGGGTGCGTTGCAAGGCTGGGCTCGGTGAGAAATTAAGCATCGAAGTAAAGCCACTCTCGAGCGGGATGATGAAGTAAGGCGACGGGACACAACGACAGCGCCGAGACCCGGGAGAATACTGCGAACTACAGAGGAGAGACAATGCCGGTTCGTAGGAAGAAACCCCGGGGCCCTGCCAAAGGAACGGTGAGTTGTCCAACACTGGCTAGTGGCAGCCCTCAAAGCAGACAAGGGCTGCTCTTCCTGAGATCCTTTATGGCGGCGTTCTTCACTAATATTCAGAGGTGGGGGGGGGGGGGGGGCACTTTCGCCTATATGACGTCAGCAGCGTGAGGGCCGCCACATTTGTAACTACTGTGGATTTATCTTCTTGGTTCTTTCGATAAAGTCACGTAGAAGGGAAATAATAAAATTATAAAAATACAACATTATAAAATACAATTCCCACGACGTTTCGGCCACAACGCAAGCAGCCGTCCTCAGGTGAAGAACAGGGCTGTCGGAAAGACAGCGTCTGAATGAACACCACCAAGCTTGGCAGCGTATATTTAAGCTGGGTTAGGGGAAGAAGGGCGCCTTGACAAAGGAATTTGCATATCAACAGAGGGATTTAGCATATTTATGGAAAAATGCAGACATGGGATTAGTCACTACTTGTGGAATGTGTAGGTGGTGGGGGAGGGGGGTCTCAAAGTAATATTATGCTGTGGATTTGACAGCAGCGCGATGATGATGGGGGCGTTTTCACTCGTTGTGTCTTGTCAGGGTGCCGCTCGTCAGGGGCTGCACTTAAGGCCACCAGGGGCCGCCAATGGCCGCCAGTGGCCCCTGGTGGCATCGCAATGAAGAACACTGCTACAGGGGGTGGGGGGGCCCTCTGTACGTTTAATTTTTGGACTTGACTGTTCCACCACCACCACTACCAACCATGTTCGTCCATGAAATACTTATTGGCAAATCTGCGCTATACTTAAGCTAATTCATTAGCCCGATTGTCAACTCCAAGAAGCCTAAGACGTCCATCTGATTTCCTGTTAACTATCCCAAGAACAAGAATTGGAATTGGTGACGAAACCTTTGCCGTTGCAGCACCGACGTTTCTGGAACAACGACCTTGTTTCATCCCTTAACATCGTAAATAAATCTTCCTTCAAGCAGATAATTCGTGCTGGCTACAACCACATTTGCAAATGTGGTTTGTAACCTTCGTACTAATCCCCCTTGTACGGATAGCTCAGTTCGAATGAGCCATTTTATTGAAGGACTGCGTCTTGTCTTGGTGTGGTCTGGGACTGTTCTTGCTGTTGTTTTACTGCATTGCCCAAGCTGGGGAATTGGTGTACTTATGCGATGTTAACTTACGTATTTTATTTAGTGATTTATTTATAGTGATTCACTTACCTGTCCGATACTTTGCACTCCTGTGGGTGTTTTTTCATTGTTTGTTGCTGTAACTTTATGACCCGCCCCGACTGGACATCTGTCATAAAGAGCTTCATAGCTCATCGGATTTCTCCAGGATAAATAAGAGATTCTGAAACCCTCCACTGTTGTTCACCTTGGCCATTGCAGTTCCGGTTTTTAAATGCGACTTACGAATAAAAACGAAAAGTACTTTTTTTTTATTTCACCACATAGCCAGGAGTGACATACAAAGATGCCATGGCTTTAATGACTAAACCCGACAGGATTCCTAATTAAATTTTGGGTCAGGTCGCGTGAGTAAGATGTGTGTCATCCACCCTTCTCCACCCGACGCAACCAATCAATAAAGTTGTCACGTGAACAGCCGCGCCAGATTATCACTGCTTCAACACCACCGGTACGTTGGAGAGCTGTGTCGGGTGGTTGAGAGTGTACAACGCAAATTCGACTTATGCATTCAGACCCAAAATTACATTATGAATCACATTACTGGTCGCGAAAACTGACGCGTGTTAAATTCACACTTTAGGATTTAGCGCAACCATTGTAACGCCACATGTATTTGTTTGAGAATCAGAATATTTATTTATATTGGTGCAATCCGATGCGCTGTGAAGCTCTTTTTCACAGATCTCCAGCATGGCCACGGGGTCAGAACGTTTATTGGGGGTCCAACACGCGAGCCCCCCCCCCCCCACCACCTTCCCCCTTTGGGCTGCAACCACCAAATCCCCGGCGTGAATCCAGCCCGGATCACGACGGGGAGAGGCCCTACGAATGAAAGCCAAGGCTGAGGACGTTCGAGAAAAGTGAAAGAGCTGCAGAATGTCTTGAGTACTGGGTGTGGGACCAGCACCACTGCAGATTGATTAGGAGGGGTGGGAGGGGAGTGAATGAAAGACTGAACGAGCATTAAATCTTGACTTAAAGCTTTCGTGACTGCAGGAATTAATATTCTTGGGTCTTTCGGTAAAGCCACGTAGATAGATCAAATAATAAAAAATAATAAAAATAATAAGAAGAATATCGCGATATTTCTCACCTGATGACGATTGCTTGTGTTGTGATCGAAACTGTCGTGATATTGTCATTGTTTGTATTATTTTTATTCTGACAATTTTATATTATTTAATCTATCTCCCTGTGGCTTTACCAAAAGACCCAAGAATATAAACGAGCATTCTTCATCGCAAGGCCCGCGGGCCACTGGCGGGCCCTGGTGACCTTTAGTGCGGTCCGTGACATGCGGCTCCCGACAATACACAACATGTGGAAACACCCCCACCGTGCTGTCCAATCCCAATGGTTTCAGATGTGTGGGGTCCCGCACACGGATGCTTTATCGGCGAAAGTGGCCCCCCTATCAAAATGAGTGAAGAACACAGCTGTAAACAGACTAAACCCACTTTATCATTCTGCTCTTAGATTTGCACTGGATGTTACCATACAGAGCCCACCATTGTGACCTCGACTTACATTCCAATCTCATTTGATGCGAGAATAAATCTACATTGGGTCCTGGTTCATCTATAGAATCATTATTAGCAAATCTTGCGCTATACTAATTAACACCATTGTCTGAGTCAATATACCTAAGCCATCCATCTAATTTCCTTTTGGAACAACCTTGTTTCACCCCTTAACCATGTCACTCTTCTGTCAAAAAATATCCTCAAACAGGAAATTAGTGCCAGACACAACCACATTTGCAACTGTGTTTTGTAATTATGAACCTTACCCATGTATCGGATGGCCAATTTTAAAATCGAGGGACCGTATTGTTTTGGTGTGGTCTTGGATTGTTATTAATGTTGTTTTGCTGCCTTGCCCAAGCTTGTATTTGGTGTTGGCAAATCTTCAGGAATTTGTTATTGTGCAATTTGTATTCGCATACTTGATCTATATTTATTTATTCGTGAATTGCTTCACTTTTCTTTATCTTACTCTTGCATCCTTTTCTGTTGTTGATTTAACTCGCTGACCCACTCCTACAGGACATCTGTCAAAAAAGAGCATCACAGCTTCATCAAATTCCTGCAGGATAAATAAAAATTCCGATTATGAAATCACGCATAATCAATTAATATTGATTTTAAAGCTCGCCGATACACGCATCGAATTGCACGTGTAGTGTAATAGCGCTGGCTGGTGGACAGCATTGGCAGCTGTGGTGGCATACGCCGGTGAGCACGAACACGGTGTGTGTGTGTGTTGGTAGAGCGGAGGAACTAGGGCAAGGGTCACGGAGGACCCCGTCTGGAGGCCCTTGGAACCTGCTAGCGGGTTCCAAAAGGAAGGCGCGGTCAGGGCTGGGAGCATAAAAGAGAGCCGAGAGCGGGGGGCTCAGGGCTGCCGGTTCTGGGAGTGGACTCGTCTCGTCGTCGCTGTCATCTCGTCGCCGTCGTCGCTAAACGGCTCCGCTAGATATTGCGCTACGAAGGAGAGTAGTTGGCTATCTCAGTCATCACCGTCAGTGTTAGGCGGCTAGTGTTGTGTACGGGCTGGGCTGAGCTGCTGTGGAGAGTGTGCGGACGAGACTGTGGAAGTTGTTAATAAAGGAAGTGCCTCCTAGAAACTCTGTCTCTGAATCGTTGACACTACACATGTGTTGAGGTGCAATTGACGATACGGAGGCAGGTCTTCAGGTAAGGGCTTGCGTCGGATATTTATCAAGGGTTTAGATAACTTCCTCAGGGGTAGGGGTCCTTCACACGACCCTGCACTCTGTCTGTTCCTAGCTCGGCTAGCTCCAGGGCTCTCTCCCTCGAGTCGGATCGGGGGTTCAGCCAACACCGACCAACTGGGAAGAGCAGCACCTCCTATGACTACCGCCGGCTTCTCTCCAGACTCCTTGAGCTCTACCCCTGGGTGGCTCTTCGACCGTTCTCTATCCCGGGCTCCCACAGTGACCCCACTTTCGTCACGGTGTCCCCCTCAAGTACCTAGAGGAGACGTGATGTCATCGCCCCGCCCAGCGCGCATGACGTCACGCCCCATGACGTCACCGCACTGTACAGCACGCATGACGTCACGTCCCCATATTACTCCTCTACACATGTAAGAGCGGACGTTTATTTTTGTTAGTTCGTTCGTTAGTTTCTCGGTCCGCTTGTCCTGGTGAGGATCGTGATAGCAGCGTATTGAGTAGGGCGGTCCGGACCTCCCTTTCCCTGGCAACAGACTCCAGCACTATATTACTATACATTACTATACACAATTATACACTATACACTACTATACACTGCACTACTATATATTACTATACACTATTATACACCATACACTACTATACACTGCACTACTATACATTACTATACACTATTATACACCATACACTACTATACACTGCACTACTACACACTACTATACACTATTATACACTACTACACTACACTATACACTACTACACTATAAACTATCTATACACTACTACACTGCTATACACTTCTACACTATAAACTATCTATATGTAATATGAGAATATCCGGCTCACTGACGTATCACACCTTGTCATGGTGATTGGCTCTGCCGGTCCTGGTTTACAGCCAATGGGGGAAGCCTGGGGGCGTGGCCCTGACGTGATGGAAGGGTGACAGCTATGGAGATTGGTTCTGCTGGCTTTGGCCTCAGCCAATGGGGAGATGAGTCAGGGGCGTGGTCCCGGGAGCTGACGAGGGAGCCTTGAAGATTCGACGCAGGCTAACGAGGATTCGCTGAAGCGTACCACGTGACCCGGGGATTAAATAGGGGTAGAGAGGAAC